TAGAGAATTCAGCGTTAAATGCTGATTTTTCAAAATGATTTGTTTGTTGTAATATTTATTTCGAATGGCAGGCGTTTTGATAGATATCACTAGCCATTTAGCTGACTTCGGGCATCACAGAGGGAAGGTTAATCAAAGTAGCAGAAAGTCGAGGGGTGGGGAACAGAAGAGTGATTCACAGATGTAAAAGAGGCAGACAGACACAAAGAGAGAGAAAAAGGTAAGGTGAGTACTGTGAAAGGGGTCGAATATGACAACCAAGGGGGTCGTGGTAGTTTGAAGTCAGAAGTCAAATGCCGGTTAATAGGCTTTTTGCCGTATGAGTATTCGTTGCCCAAGGTGCACCATGTGGAGATAAGTCTATCGCACACCCCTTTGTTGTAATATCATGTTGTAGAAAAATCATCCAATGTCCTTCAAAAACAGAATTTAAGAAACCAATCTAAATATGGGTATCACATTAGAAGTAATTCTGATTTCTGAATACAATTTCCTCAAATAGAAAATAAGATATCAGGCTTTAGACCATGTAAGTTTTCTACAAGTTTCCATATGCCCTGGATCAGAAGTAATTCTTTTTAAGCGAAAATGATTCTAAGTTGGTAACCTAGAAGGTGAAATACAATTAATCAATATTTTACTTCAATAGTAAAAATATTGGAAAATACTCGAAGTCCAGTAATTTTGTAGTGTAGCACAGCTAAATGGTGCATATGTTCAAAGTCTACAATTCATCTCGTAAAAAAATATTCATCGTTCGAAATTCGGGCAGGTTTGGCGATCCTAGCTTTTGAAGTTTAACTTTTTTCCTGTACTGTGGCCATCTGTTAAATTTCAATCAAGCATTTGCCAAGCAAACTTAGCCCAAAATATAAAAAATTAAGCTCATTTATAATCATTTATCCATTTTGACAGTGTCACCTGTAGGTATTTTGGGGGTAGGGTGGGGTGGATTGGGTGGGGGGGGGAGGGGTAATGGGTGAAGGGGTCTAGAAATGAAAGTAAAAGCCAATGCATTTGCGGAGGCAATGCAAAACAAATTACACTGAATCTTCTACATTTCTCACAATTTATTCTCACATTCTCCCGAATCGCAATCAGTTGACAGAATTAGGTTTTTGGGTACCAAGGGCACTTAATTTATTGAAATAGGAAAGTATTACATTTGCATTCTAACTGGAATTTCAGAACTCTAAATATCGATTTAAATTTTGTCAAAGAGATAGAGTAAGTTTGGTATTAGTTATAAGTCTCAGTTTACTGCTAATTACGATAGTTTTTTCAATGATTTAATGGTATTAAGATGGGAGGGGAATCAAATACCTTCACTATTTCCCATTCCCACGATAGAACAAAAAATGCCCAAATATTGCCCTCAAACATCGTTTAAGCACAAAGAACAATGGAAGAGGTGTGAAGGAGAGATTGATTGGAAGCAGGCGATAAGGTGAAGATTTCAAGAGGCCAATATGATTTGCTTTCTTCGCCCAAATATTCACCAATACGAATAGGTGAATACCAAATGACTATATTGACCGATTTGAAAGGTATACTACGGTATTGATAAAAGGCATTGATTTTACTTCTTTTTTGTCACCTGACTAAGAAAATATATCGATGGGCTAAAATCTTTGCAACATAACATTCAATAGCTCCCGAAATCTGAGCTTCAAATGTCTTCTAGAAGAACACGGCTATGGAGAATTTTTCGGATTTTATCTTTAAATTATAAGTGACCCAAACACTTACCAAACAAGAGACGTCAGAGGCTAGTGCTGGAAATCTGCCATTCTGGGTGACAAAATAGACAAAAGGTAAACCCCATCGTTCAATAAGTACCAATTGGTACATCATTTGAAAGTCCTTTCAAAATGCAAATTCAACAGAGAATGCAAGGAATTAAATTTCTAGAACATTGAAAAGGGATGGCTGTGTGTGTGTGTGTGAGGTTGTGTGATCGGATTTCGCACCCTGAGGTACTTTTACGACTTCTATTTACAAATTTTAGTTCCAAAAATTTACACCCGTTAAAAGTATTTCTCTTTAGTTAAATGAGTAATCTTGAGTCTACAATACTTGCTTGAGACCTTACATAGGTAGTATAAAACGTTCTGTTTAACAGTTTTTTCATAATCAGTTTTATAGCGATTTAACGCTGCTTGCATATTGAACCCAAAAAAGAGAGATTGAGCTTTAAATTACGATCTTAGTATTCTTTGCTTAATTAACTATCTCAAGATATTACAAAGCACTTGAAATCGATATTGTTTGAAGACTGCGACTCAATGGTCCTTCTTAAAAAGTATTTAGTAGTGGCTAACATCATGGTGCTTCCTTGGTGAGACAAGTGCTGTCAATCATTGCTATATTAGCCAGTTGCAGCCATGATACTAAATTGTTTTGCTCACTTTATGAGCTCTGCTCTTATTGAGAAGCTTGTATCACGAGTTTCCCCCACCAAAATGCATTTATAATTCCCACTATGCAAGTATCAAAGTTTGAGTCGGACTGTATGATAAAGACTCAATTGAATAAGGGCTATTTGAGAACAACTGATCTGTACCTTTCACCAAGTGTGTTTGAGTTGTCTGTCTAATTAGATGCAACGTATTAGAACTAGCACTACTGAGCTTATTCTGACATCTCTTAGTTCACTTCTAAGTAATTACAAATACGTTACTGAAATCAGTCTTAATGCTTAAATACTAGTATGGATCGAGGGGTGTGTGATAGACTTACCTTCACGTGGTGCACCCTGAGCAACGTATACTCATACGGCAAAAAAGTCTATTAACTGGCAGTTGACTTCTCACTTCAAACTACCATCACCTCACTATATGTCATATTCGACTACTTCCATAGTACTCACCTCACCTTTTTTTTCTTCCTTTGTGTCTGTCTCTTTTACATCTTTGAAACACTCTACTGTTCTCCCTCCCCTCTCGACTTTTTTCCAATTTGATGTACCTTCCTCTCTGTGAAGCCTGAAGTCAACTAAATGGCTAATGATAACTATCAAAACGCCTGCCGTTTGATATAGCATTTGATGATGATTTGCCTCAGAAATGGAATAATTCATGTTGGAGGGGGAGGGGGGAAGGATTGTAAAAGATCAGAAAACCGATCTTTAGATGATCTTTAGGCTAAAGAAAGCCCTCCCAAATAATTAATTAAACCATTTTCTAGTGGTTCCATTTCTAAGGCATAATACATGTGACAACGCAATTTGTTACCTGAGTGATATTCCTTGTAAAGGTCTTATTAAGCTGCCTAAAATAGCATGGAGGCTGAATTGACTATTTTCGATCCATTCAAGAGAAACCCGCAGGCTCTATCCAACCTGAACTGAACTATTGATAAACATATTTCCTATGCTCATACAACTGATAATGTTGGGTTAACATTTCAACTATTGGCTAATCGGACAGCCAATCACTGACCTCAAACCCAGTTCTATATACATTTATTTATACATGTCCTTCTTAAAATTCAACCATTGAAGCTACATGGCTTCACCCGCCTCAATCCTGGGATGTGAATAGTTGTAGCACCATATAAAAGGTACCTGAGTGCTATGAAAAATGCATCAACTGAGGAGAAGAGAATATCAAGAAATTTCAATTCTCAGCCTTCATGCATTTCCTGCTTACTTTGGAAGTAGTACCAGTTCCCCAATTAGAAGAGCTACCACCCAAACTCGACGCGAGACTTGCCAGAGTGGTATCCAGTTGATCCAGAGCATTTTCCTTCTTCTTCTGAACCACAACCGCTGGTCGAACGACCACATCTGCTGGTGCCGGCTTCAGACCTGGGGGGGGGAGAGGGAAAAAGCTGAAGTAATATTATTCCTTTGTGACACACACTCTCTCTCTCTCAGACTACTCAACTACGTGTACCTTAACTCAGCTTAGGAAAGCAAAATGTCAACGCTTTGTCAATGAGCTATATATTGTAATTGAGGCAAACACAGTCCTATCCGTAGCTACTTGGACTAGGCTTGCACGCTTCTTTTTTTTTACTCTGAATGCATTGGGGTTGGTTATTTGGTGGCTCTAGGGAGGAGGGGGGGGGGGGGGGGGGGGGAGGGTGTCTACTTGCCCCATGTTTTTGTTCCCTGATAATCCCACCACTGAAGAGCAAAAATCATTTCAAACTCTGCCACACTGGGACAGGTAATTTTGTGACCCTGGGGATTAAGAGATTAGCAGTTCCAGGCACTACCGTTGACAGCTCAATACTGTGAACATTCTAGATAGCAGTTGAAAGCGTTAATCGTGGGTCACGTCAACATACCTAAAGACAAAGTAAGTCCCCTTTGACAGCAATTAAATTAATTATTCTATTAATTTAAAATCCAAGATAACAATTGAAGAGTAAATTTATTGAAACTATTTAATCAACTCTTTGTGATGTCTAAAATTTATAAAATTTAATTGCCATTAAACGACTCTTTTTATATTAAAATCAATATTTCTCAAAATAAATTGTAATGTATGTTGCATGTATTGAAATTGGTATCAAAAGTGATTAATTAAGGCAAAATAGGAGCGACATTCAATTCCAGCCCTCACTTCCAACCACTGTTAACCCTCCTTCCATCCCTCCATCTTACATACCTTCTCAAGCAAAGCTCCTCAAACTGATTGAGATCGAATCGTGGCATTCCCTATTCAATTGGCTAAGTTTCTACACTATTGTCTAATTGTACATTTCAGTTATCAAGCGATGCTCATTAATGGTAGTAATATGTAATGCGTGGCGCTACCATGCCTGATCAAAGAAATCGCATTCATCATAGAACATTCTGGAAAATGCGGGTATGCGTGCAGAAACCTACCAGCCAATCAAAAGTCAATTTTACGTAACCCAGAACAACATTGTGATTGTATTTAATGACTAAGCGCATGGGGTGTTTGCCCAACAAGAGTTGTAATAAACGTCATTCAGACCATAAGCGGGAGCAATTTTCCACTAAGGGATTTCGAAAAAGATGACTTCTGTTTTGATTATCCACGAAATGAAAGATGATATCAGTCTTTTCTCGTTTTCAATTTTGTGTAATAGAGAAAAATAATTTATATAGATCTTTCTAGATGGAGATGAAATATTGAATTCTTCAGAGATTTGCAAAAGGTGGATTTAGTTTCCAGTCATTCCTTGATTGCTTCACAATTCCTCTAGAGTGGGTTTTCTAGAATCGAAATACAACTAATTGAATTAATAAAGAATGAAATTTCCCCATTGATTTAACCAAGATAAATAAGCTTTTTGATGAGTATATGACCTTCCTTTATGAATCGCATCCAGGTGAAAGAAATTTGTAATAAAGATCATTACATATTTCCCAATATTGATTTTCTGTTTGATCGTTAAAGTAGTTACTTAAAAGTAGCCAAAATGCATTTCTCAGAAGATGCTTGTCTAATTATGAGTGACATTTAAGTTGGACAAAAAATTGGATACCTGCAGGAAGACCTGTGCTTTCAGGTGTCGATGATACAGCAGGAATAGACACTGGTGTTGAATCAGATCCAGTGTCCAGGAGTGGATCCAATGAAAGGAGGTCGTCCAAAGCTGAAATAAAATTAATGAAAATATTTGATTAATATTTTATAATAAAAAGTAAATGCATTTAGACTATAATATTTTTTCCACCACGTTCAAAATTTAAGAAAAATTTTATTAAAAACCTCCATGGAATCAAGAAATTAGCAAGTATTTTAGTAAAATTAGGGAAAGACAAGCGAAGTCTCGAACTAGTTGCTTAATTAAATCAATTAATCGTTAATCGTTGGCAAGACTTTCCAGTGTAACCGGTAAAATTTTACACACCTAAGTTTCCATGTTTTCTATGATTACAGAGGGGACATATCTCAGCTTTCCTTTGTAATAACCGTGTTTTATTGGGCATACTGGATGTATCGATTTGATGGGTGATTCAAGGGTCAACTTTCTGACAATTACAGGAAATAAATGTAAGGGTACTCAAAATGCTCCATCTTCGACAATGCTGACATTTAACTCAACCCACTCTACTTCAAGGACGATGGGCTGAAGAATTTCAATTCTATAAGTCAAGGCACAAAATAAAATTTTATTTGAGAAAAATATTTTTCTACCTATTTGTATCATAGAAAAAATTGCACTTTGTTGGTTCGTTCGTGGGTTTCAAGGTTATAATGGAAGTCAGCAAACGTTCCCCCCCCCCGTTCCTACAAATTATCAGAGCTATTTAATGTAATAGTATGTAAAGTAACCAAATAATTATTACTAAAATTAGTGAAAGTATAACATTAGTTTGGATTAAAATATTCCATCTTATCAAACACAACCAGGAATATTGAAACCACTTGGAATCTTTTAGGTGGTTGCAAAGAGCGTTGCGTTAAAAAGGGACTTGGATGATTTTCGGTTTGAAATTCCGTCGGTAGTAGGACAAAATCATCGAAGATAATATCCAGAGGACGGGGTGTGCGATAGACTTACCTCCACGTGTTGCACCCTGGGTAACGCATACTCATACGGCAAAAAAGTCTACAAACCGGCAGTTGAATTCTGACTTCAAACTACAACGATCCCCCTGGTTGTCATATTCGACCCCTTCCACAGGACTCACCTTACCTTTTTCTCTACCTTTGTGTCTGGCTGCCTCTTTTACATCTGTGAATCGCTCTTCTGTTCCCCACCCCTCGACTTTCTGCTACTTTGATGAACCTTCCCCCTGTGAAGCCCGAAGCCAGCTAAATGGCTAATGATATCTATCAAAACGCCTGCCATTTGAAATAAATAAAGTTCTAAGCGAGATAGATGCCTGTTGAAGTAATCAATTTGAAAGATGATTAAAAGGTTTAATTTTAGTAATCGATATATCCTATCAGGAGTGACCCTGTGGCATCCTTCGCCATTTCCCTAAGTTTTTTTAACAATTTCCTCATTTGTCTAATTTCTTCATCATACAAGTAAACTTTTTTCTTTTTCCTCCGTGTTGTTATCTTGCAGATGGAAGTTCCGTCTCTCTTTCTTAATACACGTTTCTTTGGATAGATATTGTGGAGGAAGTATTGAGTATAAAGTAACCTTTTCTCAAGAAGAACAGTAATATTTTCATAATCCACCTCCCTATGGTCTTACTGTCGTATTCTGCACAAATTTTCTTTGGGCCTTATTTCTAATCGGGTGATGTTTACTTCTGATGCTTGTATATATTTTCAAATAGTATTTGTTCCTTTATTGCTAATATCCATCTATGTATCTGAAAAAATTTTAGTTTCCAAGCCTTTAAGCCTCGCGTATTTTGAGAGGAGGAAAGAAATAATTGGTTGTGTAAACGTATTAATTACTAACCAGTGTGTGCAAGCATTCAGACTGTTGAATTTACTTCTACAAATCTTTCTTCTGTGCAAATATATTTGGCGACATTTTCGCATTCCCATCGATTTATTTGGTTTTTCCACCAGTAAAGCATGTATGTGCAATTTCATAGATTAGCTATAAGCGTGTTATTCCGTGAAAATTTTTCCACTAAGCGATTAGGAAACGCGCCCTTACCCTCCTTTAACCTATCAGGAATCACCTCTGCCTCCATGTTCCCTCTCCTATGACCAAGTTTAATGGTGAAGTTTCGAAAAAGTCACCTTTTCTCTGACTAATTCTATTTTGTGCCGTATTTTCCCATTTCTTATTACTCCGCGAGAAAAATAGTAAGATGTTGGAACAAATTGTATCGTGGTAAATTCTAAATGCTCGCCCAAATCAAATTAGTCATTCTATTCCTTATTTGTTGTAAGCAATACACACTCCGTTAGGATTCCATTTATCAAGCGTAGAAGTCCTGATTTTCATTAATATTACTTAATGCTGTCTTCTAGGAATTTGATTAACTGTTTATATCTCAAACAGACTCTATTGACCAACTGATCAAGTTTGCCAAAAGTTGAAATAATTAAGGTTCATAGATTCATAAGATATAAAGTATGAAAGTAGATTTTTCAGACTACCAGCTTCATTTATGCTCGCAAATAGCCTAGCTTGTTTATGTACAGTAATAGTTATATCAATTGAGCTCTGGCTATATACTTCTGTTATAGATTTTAATGTTTAGTCTCGAATGCGGCAAATTTTATTCAATATTCTCTTTGCATAGATGACGAAACATGTTCGCACTGCAGAATCTGCGGCTCTAGAATGGCGAAGCAAGTGGGAATTAAGTCAGAAGGCACTACTCGAGATGATTGAGGAATGTCGGAAGGAGAAGACGAAGGCTCAAACTCTCCAAAAGCAAGTCGACAGTCTTTCTAATCTCTGTCGCGCGCTTCGCGCGGCCTCCACCAGTCAACCTTCAAAAGGTTCGTAAAATCATACGTACTAATATATATATACATATATATATATATAT